ACAAAGCCACTTTACAGATCTAGACCATCATTCTAGCTACAGATAAAAGTATGAATATAATTCTACTCCTCCAAGGGATCTACGATATAGTGTGAAGACATAAGGATAAATACTTACCTGAAAAAAAAGTGTGAGTTAAAGTAATTTAGAATCAAGTTCAATATAGACTGGCACAAGAAAGAATGAGAAAATATAGTTCTATTTTGTGTTCAGTTTCAACTCCACTGAAATGCCAAAGATGCTTAGCCTTTCCATGTAAAGTTACTCATCTCTTTCAGGATGAGTAAACAGCAAATGTCCAGTCAGAAGGGCACAAACAACTCACTCTATATTAAGGGAACTACATACAGTACTATGTCTAGGGGATGGGATAAAAACAATTTGACCAAAATCAAATATCAAAAACCTTGTGCACTCATTGTTGACTTTAAATTACTTTCAAATTAAAAGCATGTACCAAACATTTCTGAATTTTCGTTCTGTGTGCAAAAAAAATTGCTTGTGTCCACCCCGAGGTGAATACTGCCACTTTTCAAACCACGAGGTGTAAATAATAAGGTCCTGTAAGGACAGGTAAATGACATAATCAGATTTGCATTTGTCATTCATCCACTAGAAGGGAATGGTTAAGGTGATTTTGGCAGAATCAGAGGGAAGAAAACAGAGTAATAGATGATCACCTGTCATCAGGACACACAGCAGTAAGCACAGCAAAGAGGAAAAAAAAAAGAAAAACCAGCAGCAGAACATGGTTCTAATTTGCTGGGCAGAGAATAAAAAATAAGAGTCTTATTCCCAGGCTATTTACATGATTTCAGCTACTTAGGTATTGGCACTGTAAAGTAAAATTTGGAAAATGGGTTTAAAAAAAAACTATAATGCAGAAGTGACACAGCTTTGAACACATTATACTTAAAATATCTTTGAAAATGTCCAAGTGGAAATTAGATATATAATTTCAATGTTTATGACAGATATCTAAACTGATAATAAAGACTTAGAAAATATCAGAATTTCATCGATACCTTTAGCAATCAGAGTTAATGAATCTATAACATTAAATTAAAAATTTAGGGAATCTGCAGTAACATTAATATATAAAGATAGAAGAAGAGAAATAGACTGTGAATATCAGGAAAATTTTTCTGAATTTATTTCACGAATAAGGGAAAACTCAGTATTAAGAAGTCTACCAATACAATTGATCACTTTCATAGTTATGAAGCAAAATCCTTTGATTATCTACATAAACATTAAAAAGGTACGTCTAGAAATACATTGCACGTTTCTATTCCTGCACACACACACGCACACACACACACACACACAACACTTGGAAATCATCACTCCATTGTAACAACAAATAAAAAGCTGAAGACTGAAAAATCAATAACTCTTTTGAACAGTAAGAAAGAAGGACACAGAGCACACTGTTGCCCCAAAGATTAGAGAGGCAGACAGGCAAATATATGGAGTCATGGCTTACAGGAGTGGATATTTACTATTGGACACCATCATGGGAAACAGTGTAAGAGCGGGAAAACTTAAATTGTGACTGACAAATTGATGCAGGCTCATCAATAGAGTTGTAGACAACTCTGAGGGTTAAAACTCCAGGAGACCCAGTCATAGCAGGAAACCAAAGTACTGTGTAATTCACTGTCACAAGCATGAACAGGATCCTACAGTTAATAATAAAAAAGATCTTCCCCTTGCTTTCACCTGTGAGTGAAAATAGGCAAACCTTTAAATATGCCAGAATATTCTGTTGTTTATTCATTACCTACTCTAAGATATTTTGTTATAGAAGTCCAAATGGACTAAGACAGGTCCCCCCTCTCCACAGCTTAAGACCACACTACTGAATGCATATTTATAGTAGTTTCTTTTCCCTGTTACATCATGTCTGGATATAAAGAAAACAATTACAAGGCACTTTTAAAGACGAAAAAAAAAGAAGAACATAATAAACAAGCAAAGAAACACAGCTGGAAGTGATAGAGGAATCATCAGAAAAAGCCATGATCAGGATGTTAAAACTGTCAAACAAGTTACTTTAAAAGAAAACTCTGATGAATAAGCATAGGGATCAAATGGATAAAGTAGAGAGTACCCAATAGAAGATGGGCAATGAAAG